CCTGTGGGCTTTAATACAGACAACTGGCCTCTGCGGACCTTCCCTTCACCTTCCCAGTGGATGTGGTAGTGGAAGAACCCAACAGAAAGACCTGTAAATACTTCCCAGGCAACAGGACATGGCTGAAGACAGAAGAAGGAGGCAGCACGAACTTTGGAGAGAAGAGCAGAGACAAGGAGAGATGGTCATTGGCAGAAGATGCTGAGTGGTTGAAGATGACTTTGAAGGGTGATGCTGACTGTAGAAAAAATGCAGATGGATTAGATGATGCTCCATTGCCTCCTAGAGGACAGCCTGTTGGCACCGAAACCAGGGTGAGTCTAATTACTTGGGGTTCTTCCTCAAACACCTGCTACTAGGGACTTGAGGGTTTCTGACTCTGTTCCCATCTAACTCCAGCTCCATAGGTTTATAGTGCAGGGGTCCAATGGCTAAATCAAAGCACAGTCTGCAGCTGGGCATTTCAAAACTGCATCCCTTTCTTCCATTGTAGCTCCAGGCACTGGAACCAGCTAGCTGTTCCCCAGACCGCATCTTTAAAGTGGTGTTTGTAGGGAGCTCTGGCGTTGGGAAGAGTTCCTTCATCCACCGCTTCTGCTATGACAGGTTCTTGGCTGAGCTCAATGCAACCATTGGTAAGTAATAGGGTTCCTGACCCATCTGGCTAAAAAGGGTGGGAAGATCAGCCTGGACACATGGTTTTTGCCTGTATTTTAGTCCAGCTAAAGGTAAAGATGGTCCCTTGCCCAATTTTGAATCAATCTTGCGATTTCCCTGAACTAAATAGTGTTGATATTGGGCATTGGCCTTGCAATGGCAAGCTGCTCTCTCCCCATCCTATTTTATGTTCATTGTTACCTTCCTGACAGGTATTGATTACCAGGTGAAGAGTCTGATGGTGGATGACACCCAGGTTGCCTTACAGCTATGGGATACAGCTGGACAAGAAAGGTAAGAAATTTCTGTGAGGATGCCCTACTGCCAGGCTCAGTGTAGGAAACAGGAGGAAAGGGAAAGATTGCATGCACGTGGTTTCTGTCTCTGGGAAAATTGTTAGCTTCAGAAGGACCAGAGAAGTCTCAGCAGCTATTCCAGTGCCCATCCTGCAGTAAAGGTCTGTTCTAAAAAGTTCTAGAAGCTGTGGCTGCGAAACAGGTCCTGGGGACATCACTCTGAAGACTGATGGAAAAGTAGTTTTCAGTATGTCTGACCTGCATGCTTGTGGCTTCAGGTAGTCTATCCATAAATCACTGTATAGTATGGGATTCAAAGCTCCTCTAGCTCTAGCTCCTCAAAGCTGTCCTGCATCAGTCTGCTTCTGGCAAAGCTGCAGGACAGGGCTGCAGATTAGGACAGAAATGGAGGCTCTGGATAGACATCTTGTTCTCAGATTCAGTTGTACTACTACTACTATCCCCAGCTGCTCACCACCACTTGCTCTCCAGAGGGTGCAAAGGAGTGTGTGAAGCTTTCCGGGTCTGATTCAGACAAAACCATCTGAATTAGCTTGACCTGTGGGGAAGGTGATTTGAACTACCCTGCTGGACTCTCTCAGTGAGGTTATTGTCCCCTTCCACTGTCCTTTGTGCTGATAGTCATGGGAGTGATAATCCTTGGTAGAAGGGTAGTGTACTTTTTGCAACAGTGAATATAGGTTCCCCATTTGAAGGCCTCTAGTTTCAAAAGCATGGATCAGCACTGTTGGTGAGGATCAGAGTAGTAGAGGACAGACTTTACCCTTATCTGCTACTAGAGATGTAGGCCCACCATTACCTTCATGTAAATTAGACTTTATTTTGGATGCACTTTGACGCTGAAGATGAAAAGCTATTTCAAGGGGGCCATTAACCTCAAGAGCCTGGCAAAAATAAGTACTACATAATATTTTGGGCTAAATATGTTATGGGGGCAGGCCTTCAGGAGGCAGCCGAGGTCATGGGAATATTATAATCCTGAGCTGTGTTAACAGAGTAATGATGCTGTCTGCCTCAGCCAGCAAGACCATGCAGACCTGGTGGGAATGTACTAGGTAGGAGTATCTATTGAAAAGCAAAGTATTTCTTCCAAAATCGAGCTTCATGCTGAAGAAATAATGATTTTTGAGGGGACTCCTGTGGTTATTTTGGTGCTGAAGCTGAGCAATAAGGGGAGCTGTTATAACATGAAGTGTGACATTTTATGGAGGCCAGATTGCATCAGAGGCCAAACTCAAGATATTGTCTTTGCAGAAAGACCTGTAGGGTAGGCCCCTGCAGCATTACCAGGTCAGACGTGTACTTGCAAGAGAGAACTTGGCTCGATGCAAATACTGAATAGGAGACCTGGGAAGAAGCAAAAGCTTTTCTTACTTCTAGAGAAATATTAATTACTTGTAGCTGGAGGTGTCCAACTGGGAATATCCTATAGAAGAGATAGAGAAACTCCATGGAGCATGCAAGGGAAACTCCTTTGTGACTTCCCCGAAACTAGCGCATGCTACACTTGATGTTTCTTCTGGAGCATCTAGCCTGTCCTGTAGTTCCAGAGGTGTACCTTGACCGCCAAAGATATAGTCTGTGCTTTCTCAGTTGGGTGGTTGCCAGAATGTCATGCCCTTGTTGTGGTGAGAAAGAACAGGCTTTAGGCAATCATCTGAAGACTTCAGGAGGGTCACTACTTGCTGTAGGTTTTCTTGGCTCTTAATAGAATAGGACAGCTTGTTACCCTGTGCAGGGCTGAAATACACAGCTCTCCAGTGAGATCTCAGTACTTGTGTTGCATTTAATTCCATCAGTTTGCAATCAAATGTGCTTATATCATGGCCCTGTCACAAACTGCTTACAGATTTTAAGGGGGGGGAGGGTTGTTGTTGGCATATATTCCCAAAATACATGTCTGTGGTTCTAACTGGTATCCACAGGACAAAGCAGATGTTTGGTGGGAGTTTCTCCTGGAAATTATGTCTAAGTGCTGATTTTATGTATGATGGCATTGCTTTATAGATTCAAAACTGGAAACAGACTGTATTGATGCTGAGATCTTAATTGCTGTTTTGGCAGCACTGGGGCATACATTATGCACACCTAGTTTATACTGTGTTATAGCTTAGTCTGCATATTCTTCCAGACTCTAGAGAAAGGTCATGTTTTTTCCATCCATTTCCCTTTTTATAGGCAATTACCTTTTCCTATCCCACCTAAGCAGATTCTTTTGTTTCTTTCCTCCTACCTGCTTCCTCAGCATTATGCATTTGGAAAGACTCCTCCTTACCCATGGCTGCCTGGCCTGCCTCAGAGGTACAAGGATCTGACCTGTCTGTCTGTACACACCAGCCCCAGGGACCGCCAGGCCTTGCAGAGAGCCTACACTAAAAGACAGATAATCCCATTCTGTTTCTTGTCATTACACAGTTATGGTTCTGAGCGTGCCTTTGGTTTCATTTGGGCTCAGGTTTCGGAGCATTACCAAGCAGTATTTCCGGAAGGCGGACGGGATTCTGGTGATGTACGACATTACAGCTGAGTGCTCCTTCACAGCAGTGCGGAACTGGATGAGCAGTGTTCAGGTGAGGGTGGGGTCTCGGCTCTCTAATGCTGGTGATGCTGCTGCTGCCTTGCCCCAGACCACCTCCAGCAGTCTGTCTGGGAGTGACCTTCTCTGATGCCCCAGGAGGTCCTATTGACCATGGGAAGATGAATTATCAAAGCAGATGCTATGGGTACTGCCTGTGGTAGTTTGGGACCAGACGCTTCTTGTTGAAGGTACCAAAGGCAGTGGTAGCCCCTTAAACAAGGGAGGGCTGTTTCTATGGCAGAAGGTGGTATGACCTGCCAAAACAGTAGTGCGTGTTTGTAAGCAGCCCATGGGCATTGGCAATGTCTCCTAAACATGGTTACATCACACCTGTGCTCAGGCAAGGAGATCTTCTGGTGTCCAGCCTATGCACCGGAAAGGGAGATGCCCCTGGTGTGTTTAAGCTCAGATCTGCAGCATACGTGCAAAGCACTTTGCATAATCACATCCTGACTCGGGTTTGAGATTTCTAGATAAGACTGAAAAATTAGTAATAGCTTATTTTTTTCCTCGTTTGCTTCAACTTTAAAAGATTATGTTTTTTCTTTTCTTTTTTATTTCGTGACTGTGTTTTAATACTATAGTCTGCCCCTCTGATTTTTATTTCCAAACTCTCAATAAAAGCATTCATCTGTGGCTTGTATCTGCTAGTGGAGACAAAAATACCTGTTTGTATAATTTAAATAAGTTGTGTGTAGATGACTCAGAGCTGAAGGGAAATTAAAGGGTGGTTTTGTTTTGATTGTGCCGAGTCTCAAAAACCAAGATCTGAGTGAAATGAATAAGCATAGGTTGGAGGTTTCTAATATTATTAACTTCCACAAGCCTGTTGGGGGAAAGAAACAACCACTTAGCTATTTCTTTGGGCTCTAAAAGATCAAAGGTTAAGATTTTCAAAACCAATCAGGCTGCTTCTGGGAAGGTTAAACTGAGCACACAGAAAATCAAAGCACCTGAAATCTGTAACTTTTAATAATCTCTCTTCTTTTCCTTTCCCCATCTTAGTATTTATCTTGCTTTGAAGCTGTTCAGGTACTGTAAGTGATCCAGGGCAGTCAAGTTTGGAAACAACTTGGAATCCCATTCTGCAGTCCTTACTCTGGTAATGTTCTAGGGAGCCAGTGGAACTAGAGAGAGTTTTACCAAAGGTAATGGGCTTCAGGAATCACCTAGGAATAACAGTTCCTACAGAGACCCTATACAGGAGCTGAAAGTTGCTTAGCTTGCTTGGCCAGTGGATTTTCAGCAAGGAACAGTTGAGTTTAGGGCAGCACATCAGATTAATAGTACTGTACATACACACAAAAATTATTGAACTTAGTAAGAAGCTCTGCCTGAACTTAAATTCCAAACAGCCTATGGGGCAAACTGCTTTTCTTTAGGCTTGTTATTTCCCAGAGAGGAACCTATGTCCTGTCTCCCCTCTCTCAGCTTCCCAGCTGTACATACCAAACATTTGAAATACATTCCCATAGTTTAAGCTTCCTTCCACAAATCCCTGGGGCTATTTGAGGAATGGCCCTTTAATGAGCTAAAGGGCTGCCACTGAAAGTCTTGTCTGCATGAGCTGGAACAGGATCTGCTCCAAGATATTTCCTTCCCTCAGCTGAGTCTCTAGGGTGTTTTACTCTGTTTCTTTTGCAGGAAGGTATCGAGGATGGAGCTGTGGTCTTTCTGCTTGGAAATAAAATGGATGCTGCACAGGGAGCAACATGGAATGTGCCCAAGGTGGAGGGGGAAAGGCTGGCGAAGGTGTGACTCTGTGCTGTGCTGCTCGATCTGCTCTGCAGCCTCCTTCCAGCTGTTAGCAGGGCAGCCTGGCTAACAGGAAGCCCTTCTTGGAGCCATTTCCCAGTATGGTACCTTTCCTCTTTCCCCCTGCCCCCCGTTTCTCTAATGCAAACATGTATACTGAGGTCCCTCTGGTATCAAGGAGGATGAGGTGATGGCCAGCATGTGGCAGACAACACCCCTTGAGGCATGCTCATGTATTTCTCTTGAGGCTTGATGCCTCCTTACAGTCTTTGAGGGAAGCATGCATGGCTGTTCTCTCATTTGAGGATGCTTCTAATGCACACTCCACAAAATTGTCCTGCCTGCTTCCTCACTCCCTGCGTCTGTATGCCCACTGGTTCCTTGGCCCCTGGGTGGGGGGAGGCAGGGTTTCAGAGGTGTTCCCCACCTTCTGGACTCTGCAGCACAAAGGTAAGGGAATCAGAGTACTCTGGGCAGATGTTTTCTCTTCCCATTTAACTCCCCCAGTGTTCCCTTTCGAATATTCTGGCTAGGCATTTCCTTTTCCTGGGTTGGTGCGCCCCAGCAGCTCGGTAACAGCCACCCGCCTGGCCCCAACTGCTGTTGGCGGAGTTCCCGGTGGCAAGGGTGGGCCAGCTCCCAGGGGTGTGGGTGAATGACGGGGCAGAGCTGGTAGCCAACATGGGTGCTAGCTGTGCTCTCTGGCAGGAATACAAGGCTGTCTTCTACGAGTGCAGCGCGATGACTGGCTATAACATCATGGAGCCCATGCTGCACATGGCCAGGTCAGTGAACAGGGACAGTCACCCTGGGATATTTCCCCAGCTGCAGGTGATTGGTGTGGGCTCTCCTGGGGAACGGGCAAGAAGAGGGGGTTGTCAGACACTGACTTTCTGCCCATGTCACAAAGAAGACCTGGAACAATGTACTCTTCCCCCTGACTCCAGGTCCTTGTCTTCTGTGCCTGGAGAGCATCAAGTGTAGACTGGACATTGTCGCATTAAAGCTTCACCTGGCACAGCTGGATGTTGAAAGATTGGGAGTTTAATTTTAATATTTCATCACAAAAACCTGGTGTACCATCCCAGATTTTAAGCTGTCATTTTCAGTTTGAAGTCCACATGCATCTCTAAGGGTTTTTTCTTCCTTATCTTATTAAGCATTATACAGAATGTGATATTTTGGTGGCAATATTTTTAAAGGGAGGTAAGACATTTTGTAAGGCTGAAAGAGATTTGTCCTAAGATTTTTAGTTTTTTGAAAAGACAAGTAGTTTTGAAAAAAGCCTGAAATCTAGCAAGAAAAATATCCTTTTCTTTTATCCCTTCACCTCCTGCTGCATCATCTCTGTTAAATTCACAGCAGGACTTAGCTGTTCATTAACTCGGATGATTTACGCACATCTCCCATAGTATGTGCCTTCAGCATGCTTTATTACCATGATGCTGCCCGAGATGGCCCAACAGGTGAAGCAAACAGCCTGGAATTCTGCCAGTGTGGGAGCTTGGGAATAAGGCATAGACCACTCACACCCCAGTCTGGTGCTCTGACTACTAAGCCATGCTGTCCCCTCTGGTATGTGTCTAGTTTCTCTCCCTGTTCCCTGGAACTTCATGCTCATTTTCTGTGTGTGGTTTATCTAGCCCACTTTCCAGAGAAGCCTGGTCTTTAGGCTAGTCACTTCTTACAATCCTAAATGTAAGATTACCCCTGGCTGATGGGGAGCAAAGGGCAGAGCCAAATGCCTTGGCAGGAATATCTCAGTAACTGAGTTGTGTTCTTGATCTGTGCTGCTTGTTCCAGGTTGCTGACAGCACAAGAAGACAAGCAGAGGGAGAATGCCCTGCAGCTGGAAGACGTCAGCAGGAGGAAAGGGTGCTGCACATAAGGCATATCAATGTGTCAACAAGAGATATGTGCCAACACTGTTTCGTGAAGCTGGGGTTACTTTTGAGCAAGCTGAATTTGATGGTATCAGCTCTGCAGAGACTTAGGGAACCTGCAGCTTTTCCCCATCTGGGAATTTCAAGGCACCAAATCAACCCAAAATGTGAATATGATCTGCACTGTTCCAGTTCCCAACTCTGCATGCAGCCCTTGTCTCTGGAGGCCTCTGCTTCTTTGGCGGAATTTGGCTGGTCTGGGCTAATAGCACAAACTAGACATTCTATCTGGAGAAATCACTTCCCTGTAAAAAGATGGAAGTCTTGTTCCTTTTCTTTCTGGCAAAGAAGCTGGCTAGCAGCAGAGAGTGGAGGACACAGTGGGTGCTGTATTAAATATAATTTTAGGGTAAGAGATAAAGAATTTATTTTAAATTTGGGCTAGCTCTAAGTAATGATCCATCTGTCTCAAAGAGCAGCATGTCCTATTGGTTCTGTAACAGTGGAGTCCAGCTGAAAGCCTGCTGTGGTAAGCAGGAAAACCTGCATCAGTTCCTGTAAGATCTGGATCAAGTCCCATATTCACTGTGAAATTTGGTTTGACTTGCCAATATTGTAGTTAACTGATTCCATATGTGGATATAGTATGAACTGATAAAACCAGTCATCCCTATGGCTTTTGTCACTTTGTTACCCTAATGGGCCTTGTCACTGTCCCTTTTTTACTGTTTACAGAACACAGAACAGTTGCCCTGGGACTCGTGGACGCTGGGACATGCTGCTGATTCATAACCTGTAGCAGGAGCTGTGCTGTACATAATAGGGGGGCTGTATGTAGCCTGTTTCAAGGCCAAATGCTGCCTGTTTCCTCCCATTCTCTTATCCTTTCCTGAAGAATCTCCAGCAACTAGGAACTGACTTCTCTGCAGTACTGAAAGATCCCCCCTGCCTGCTTGACCACAGTGCTTTCAAATGTACCCGGCTGGAAGCACAAGGCAGTGGCCTGTGTGAAACACACCTAGAGAAGCTTTTTCTCTTGCAGTAACCTTGTGCGATAACCTTGCTTTGCTGGTGAAGAACCTGAGAAAGGGCAGAACCAAACTTGTCCCCATTAGGAGTGGGGCAAAGCAGGGTGAGGGGAGGTGTGGGATGAGGTAGGATCAGGCCCAAAAGCATGCCTTTTGGCATATAGGAAGCCCCTCGTGTTCTCTGGGGTGTGATGCTTTCTGTTTTGTAGCTCAGTTGCTCTTAAAGCCTTGTAGGACTAAGTGAGCTTTTTTATAACGCCCTGTTCCCTTTCTTCTTTGAGTTTGTTTCTATATGTGACTTTGACATTTTAGGCACAAGATGTGATGCTGCAGCTGTAAAGCAGTCCCCCCAACCTTGCAGCACAGGGAAGGCCTATATTTATCCGCTGTCTTTCCTCTCTTGGGATAAGGTGGTTTTCTCTGAATGTCTGTTTATTGCACAAATTTCTCCGGGAATGTCCCACACAGGAAAAGTGCTCTGAGTCACCTACAGCCCATCAGTGTTACAAAGAATTTCTGTGGTTCCTCCCAGTGCCCTTTACTCCTGATAGGAAAGAGGAAGGTTTTCTCCAGAACAGCATGATTCCTGACTACAAGGAATAGCTAAAAGTAACAAGCTCCTGCTCAGTCCTTACTGCTGGCTGGCTGTGGTTCATGCTGTGTTTAACTGCAGTAATGCCTTCCAGAAACTGGGAATCAGAAAGTTAAGAGGCCCTGAAAGAACCAGGGCTGATGGTGTGGAGTCTAGAGTAACACCAGCAGTGCTGCCAGTGGAACTGCTTGCGTTTGGAAGAAATGGTGTTTGGGAAGGGAAATCATCTGTTTTCAGAAGGCACCTGTAATCTGAACACAGATGTGGCTTTCTGACTTTCTAGATAATGTAGGCATGAAGGAGCACAGACATTATTGCCTGTTGAACAGGTCAAACCCACTACCTGAGTTGGGGGAGCTGCTGACAATGATTCCTCTGCATCATGCTCCAGTAGCAGGTTAATAAGGAGTGGTGCTGACTAAGAACTGGCATCTTAAGTCTGGGCACATCAGTAATGCTGACATTTCCTTATCTGCAGCAGCAGGGTTTGGGAAGTTGCTGCAGAAGGGAGAGAGCAGTATTCAATCTGCTAACGTGGTCTGAATGCATACCTCCCACACTGTGTACAGAGGACATGAAAGACAAAGGTGTGAAATACAGCTGACACACAAATATGGGCCAGTCTATGTATTACCTTCATCAGTGCTGTCACATTGCAACAGCAAGAACTACCATGTGGTTTCTTAATGTACAACCTTAAGCATGTTTTCTTAGTGTGCAAGCAGAGTGCAGGCAATAAAGAAATGCTGTCTTACAAATGGTTCTGTTGATAGATGCTTTTTTCAGGCGCTGCAGGAGATTGAGCCTTCCTTGTTCAGTCTCTGATGGTAGCGTGACCTCCCCTTCTCGCTTCTCAGGAAGAGCTGAGAAGCCTGTCCCCCATGGTGGCACACATGGGCGGTTTATAAGTAGAGAGTGAGTTGATCAGGAACCCATGTTTTGGGACAGCACAGGAGCAATTAATCTCCAGTCTTATTTTTTTCCCCTCTCTGAAGCAGCCAGAGTCTGGCTGATCAGAGAAGGCAGATCAGGGAGGACAAAAAGGGGAGATGCTCCCTCAGTGTCTGGGGGCAGTGTAGTGCTTTCAAAGAGTGCTTGTTGGCACCTTGTACCTCTATTTGTAGAATTAAACATTTGTTTTAATAATGTTCCAATTCACCAGATTTAGGAATTTGGTTGGTTTTAATCCTTATGCCCTGGCATGTCTCCAGCTGGTATGTTTGTGCATTACAGAACTAAGCTCACTGTAGCTTTGAATAAAGAAATTATTACTCATTTCCCTTGCTATAAATTGATAGCACAGGAAGCAGTTCACTGTAATGTCTTATTTTAGTAGGAACAGGGTGGACTTTGTCATGGTTGAAACAAAAGTGGCACAGAGTCTGAGCAGGTTGTGCTTAGGCAACAGTAAGCACTGGGGCGGGTTTTATTACTGCATGGTCTTTTGTTGTCTCTTTGCACAATATTGAAATGTCCCATTGGAAGACCTAGATGCTCACAGTCTACAGGGGTATGTTGTTAAACCTTTTTGATACCAGAACAGACTGTCCACAAAATTCCTAATTTTACTACACCGTTTCTGTTTTTGTCAGAATCTCTCCTGTCTCTAAATGGAAACCCTGGGAGCCGCCACCCTCTGCAAGCAGCTGCTAGGAACTGCAGCATAAATAAAAATCAAATAATGGGGATATCCTGAGGTCGCATAAGACAAGGGCAGCTGCAAAATGGACTCTGCCCAAGGGCTTATTCCTGTGTCATATCAGCTGCAGTCTCTTAGTGGACAGGTGACTTTTTGCACATAACCTGTAAGGCATTTTGAAATTGTATCACAAAAAGGTACTTTTCTTACACCCTAGGTTGCCTATCCTGGCACATGCAATAGTGCAGCTGTATATACAGTCAGATCTAGGGGCAAAGGCGAAAAAAACAGCAGCTCTGATAAGCAGCCACAGTCCCACAAAGCTCTGCAGCCAGGCAAAGGGACCCCACTCTGCCTTGTGTTTCATTTGTCTCTCATGTTAATGTGCTAAGGATAAGCGTAACAGGATTAGCCTGACAACACCTCCTTGAAAAGCGAAAACAGGGCTGAAGAGAGAGCATTAAGCCACAATGTTAAGTTTAAGGCTTTCCCACAGACAAATGTGGGAATTGCAAAGGTTTGGGATGTTGGTTTTCTACTTTCTTTATTCCAGCAGCCTGAACTCCAAAGGGACAGTTTCCATTTACACACATTTAATCAGTTCCTGCTATGGGGATCATGCAATGTCTCATGCATTATTTTCTGTCCTGTCACATTCTTCTGTTTGTGTCTTTTCATGCTCTTTTTACTTGTTAATTAACAAGTTAATTGCTTAGTCTGTATATATATTGACCAAGTACTGAAGCTCCAGGTATAAACGTATCTCATAGCTCATGCTGTATACCTTTAAATGCTCTATATGGAAATCTGCCGCTTAGCGCCAATAGATCCACAGTCTTGCAATTCAGAGCTTCGTTAGCTCTTTGAGCCACTGTCAGTCTGCTCATTACTTATCTGGCTGGTTATGAGTCACATGGAAATTTCGGTTGGTGCAGCTACAGTAATCCAGCTCCAGCCTCTTCAGGCCTGCAAGGCATGCTTTATATGCATATCAAGCCAAGCAGGTTAATAAGGCCCTGATCCTGCAAACACAAGTGCGCTGCTTCTGAAATGACTAGTTCACAGGAGACCGATACTTGTTTTTTCAAGGTAAACACGTATCTATCTCCAGTAAATATATATTACTCCAGTAATAAGACAGGAATTGGGGTGCGGGGGGTCCTGTGGTAACTCACCTTTCCCAAGCACACGACTGCCACGCAGGCAGCAGTTGTGCCTAATCATGCCCATTTGCTGACCCAAATCTGCCAGGGTGGGAGGTTACGCTCTTTCCTGTTTGTACATGAAATCTAAGGACACGGCAAGAAGGCAGCGGCCCAGTGTGGCTACCTAGGACTCCACTGGGCTGGGCTGGAGTAGGGGCTGACATCTCTTTTGTTGCCTCCTGGCTCTGCTACACACTCCCTGCAAGAAACCTCTCCATGTGTAAGTGTGAGCTGGTCCCCTAAGGCTCTATTTAATCACTTGGCTCTCCAGGGGCTCTAAGCTAAAGCTTAGGTAGGATCTCTGTGGGCTGAGAAGAGAGGAGTTGGCTTACTCATTGGGAAGGATGAAGTGATTTTAGAGTTGGGCACACAGGCAGGAGAGGTTAAGTGTCACAGTTGAGGCAAACGCCCAATAGGACCTCAACTGGCCTTTTCCCTCCCTCTCCTCTCTCTTCCTACCCACCCCAAAAAATCCATGCGAGGCCACTCGGCCACCGAGTGAGCAGGCGAGGGTCTTCTGAGACCAGCGGAGTGGGCAGGC